GGTTGCTTTGCCTTCTCAACAGTGTTAGTCCACATTGCTATAATCAGTATTGGTAACAGATGTTCTGTGCATTGTGCTTATCAAGGTGTGGTTGTAGAGGCAAAGAGTGCGTGCGTGAACCCAGAAGATGTCTCTATCATTACTGACCACCCCCCAGATCGATGTTTGCAGATGTCCAATGTGTTACTCACCCTGAAGACCACTCCCTGAGTATATGACCACCCATTCCATTCTATAAAGGTTAGCTTGTACAAAAGTCAGTAGTAGAAAAGACAACATTGTCATTCCCATCACCTGGTTGTTTCTGTATATCAGGAAAGGACAATGACTGTAGGTTTCTTTCTGCCTGTCCTGGGATTTTGCATCTTGATGGTGAAAGTCACGGAGGGTGAGTCACTCTAAGCACAATGAATATGTCAAAGTAAACTGAAATTGTTATCCACTGGAAAGCCATAACCTCTAGATAAATGATCTAGTCTCTTAAAAACCATGTCTTAGCCTGTTATTTATAAATGCATGGTATTAGTATATGCTACGACATGCACCATCATGTCTTATGATTATAATATGACTTGAATAATATAGCTATGTGAATGTTTTCATGTGTATAGTGTTGACTGTAGAATCAAACTAAGACTACCAGCTTTACTTAAAAAATACAATGACCGTATATATCTCATTTGTTGTGGGTTTGGCTTGTTGTGGGTGTGGCTTATTGTTGGCCTGACCTAGGCAGAGCAGAGAGACAGTAAACCACAGGTTGGTTACACATTCTTGTATCTTAACTCACGAGTAGTATCACTGCTGACTTCCCTGCTCCCCATTGCCACTGTTTAAATTTCTAGTACTTTGAGGTGAATGGTATGGAAACACTACCCCTGTCCTGACCATTGCGCATGCTTGGATGCATTCATGTGGGGTGGGCCTGAGGGTTATACAGTGAGGAACAGAAGTATTTGAACACCCTGCGATTTTGCAAGTTTTCCCACTTAGAAGCCATGGAGGGGTCTGAAATTCACATTGTAGGTGCATTCCCACTCAGAGAGAGAGAATTTAAAAACAAAATTCAGGAAATCACATTGTATGATTTTTAAAGAATTTATTTGTCTTGCACTGCTGAACATAAGTATTTGAACACCTAAGAAACAGCAAGAATTCTGGCTCTCAAAGACCTGTTATTGTGCCTTTAAAAAGTCCACCTCTACTCCACTCATTAATCTAACTTATTAGCACCTGTCTGAGCTCTTTAAAGACACCTGTCCTCGCCACAGTCAGTCATACGCCAACTACTACCATGGGCAAGACCAAAGAGCTGTCAAAAGACACCAGAGACAAAATTGTGGACCTCCACAAGGCTGGAAAGGGCAATTGCCAAGCAGCTTGGTGAAAATAGATCAACTGTTGGAGCAATTGTTAGAAAATGGAAGAGGTTAAAGACGACTGTTAGTCTCCCTCGGACTGGGGCTCCATGCAAGATCTCACCTCGTAGGGTATCACAGATGATAAGAAAGGTGAGGAAGCCCAGAACTACAAGGGAGGAGCTGGTCAATGACATGAAGAGAGCTGGGACCACAGTTTCAAAGGTCACTGTCAGTAGAACACTATGCCATCATGGTTTCAAATCATGCATTGCACGGACGGTTCCCCTGCTCAACTCATCACATGTCCAGACCCGTCTGAAGTTTGCCAATGACCATCTGGATGATCCAGAGGAGGCATGGGAGAAAGTCATGTGGTCAGATGAGACCAAAGTAGAACTTTTTGGTCTAAACTTCACTCGTTTGTTTGGAGGAAAAAGAAGAATGAGTTGCATCCCAAGAACACCATCCCTACTGTGAAGCATGGGGGTGGTAACATCATGCTTTGGGGGTGCTTTTCTGCAAAGGGGACAGGACGACTACACTGTATTAAGGAGAGGATGAATGGGGCCATTTATTTTGAGATTTTAAGCAACAACCTCCTTCCCTCAGTCAGAGCTTTGAAGATGGGTCGTGGCTGGGTCGTGGCTGGGTCTTCCAACATGACAACAACCCGAAGCACACAGCCATGGTAACCAAGGAATGGCTCCGTAAGAAGCATATCAAGGTTCTGAAGTGGCCTAGCCAGTCTCCAGACCTAAATCCAATAGAACATCTTTGGAGGGAGCTGAAACTCCGTGTTGCTCAGCGACAGCCCCGAAACCTGACAGATCTAGAGGAGATCTGTGTGAAGGAGTGGGCCAAAATCCCTGTTGCAGTGTGTGCAAACCTGGTCAAAGACTACAGGAAACGTTTGACCTCTGTAATTGCAAACAAAGGCTTCTGTACCAAATATTAACACTGATTTTCTCAGGTGTTCAAATACTTCTGTTCAGCAGTGAAAGACAAATAAATTCTTTAAAAATCATACAATGTTATTTCCTGAATTTTTTTTTAAATTCTGTCTCTCTGAGTGGGAATGCACCTACAATGTGAATTTCAGACCCCTCCATGATTTCTAAGTGGGAGAACTTGCAAAATTGCAGGGTGTTCAAAGTCTTCTGTTCCTCACTGTATATGCAGTGTGCAAAATCTGACTTTCAGGAAAAACAATTTTTTGCACAGATTCTTTGTCAGGGCAGCAATGGAAATGGTGAATGATTAATGGGACTTTTAGCAAGTGATTCAATTATTGTCATATGGTCCTCAAAACTAACAGCGATGACTTGGTTACACACTCACACAGACAGCAACAAATAACTGAACTTGGTACTACAGGTGTAAATATGGGAATACATAAATACTTGTAGTAATTCCTTGCCAGAAAAATAGCATTCATGGCACTCTGACAATTGTGACAATGTAAGGGTAACACATTGGCAACTGTTTCAATATATTGGCATCAAATGTGGTGATCATGACAGTAAAACAGTTGTAAAGGCTTTTTTTCAATAACAAACGTGCTTTACTTACCTGCTTTGTGGTCTGGAACCTCCTCTTCTGGGGTATCCAGCTGGCGGTCTTGGCTCCTCATCTTCTTTGTACTCCACAAAATGAAGCCGCTTCCTATGGGGACGTACTTGCGGGCCCACTTCTGAGCCTATATACACACACGGCGTGGCTCACCATCTATATTTTATTTATTTTTGTGCTGGCTGCAGCTTCATCACAGCCTAAAAGTGTTACTAAAACAAAGAAACACAGCGTCTCTAAGTGTGTACTGCGAAGATGTCCGGGATCAGCATGTTTGGCAATGACGTCAGATGCCGAACATGCCGATCCTGGACATCTTGGAGACTCTGCCAGGCTTCACCATCCATGCTGCACATGCACAGCACTATCTGCTGGCGTACACCTTGGAGATTCCAACAGGCTTTACCATTCATGTTGCACATGCACAGCACCATCTGCTGGTGGACTCAATTGATCTCCTCTCTGAATCAGTCACCTAACATCTGGCTACAGACGTCTCACCCCCTTTACCTAGGAGCCTGCTTTTCAATTCTAAGATGTGAGTTACTATTTTTCTTCCTATTAAATATCATCGCAGTACACACTTAGAGGCGCTGTGTTTCTTTGTGTACCTTCTGCAGAGTTATGCTTTGCTCCTTTTGCAGATTGCCCTTAGTGCCTACTGGACTACCCTTGCCCACTTGGAACTCATTAATACATACATGGACTGCCACACTATGCGCCTGTTATCCCTTTTGTAATAAAAGTGTTACTAAACCTACAACAAAAAATCAATCTGCATATGCAGTAAAGCATGCTTGTTATACTTGGAACCTAAGGGGTTAATCCTCAGCATTGTGTTAAAAGGCTGTTTGATCCTGTTTTCTCTAATCCTCCTCTTCTTCTATTGTTCTCAATCCACCTGCTGATAGTACAGAGCCCTAGGAGTCACTCTGCACATGCTCAGTTCATTGTGTATTGCTAGATAATTTTTTTTTCTTTGGGAGGGTGCATGTGATCAGCACAGGGCCAATCAGCGCTGTCAACACAGAGGGTCAGGAGTCCTGCAGCCTCATAGGACAGTCAGAGGAGAATGAAAACGCCTCCCACAAGCTTAACCAGTGCTTGGCCAGACACTGGTAGAAGTCACAAGACTGCTATATACTGCTGATGAGAAAATGTATGTAGCAGTTTATATTTACTAAAATAATTGCATTTCCATGTTCTGTGTACTGTGGGAGAGCAGATATAGTGAATGCAGGGTCCTGGGCTTAGTAACACTTGAAGCCCAATTTATGGGCATTTCTGATGGGGAAGTACAGTACATACAACATTGAAGTCACCCCACCTTGTGTGTTGTGTGCTTTTTCCATTATATGTATTGTGTCTATGATCAGGTAATCCAGAACAACAGGATTATTCTGTACCTGTCAACAACACATGCACGAAATACAATACAGATTGGTGCACTATACGTGAGTACTGTACTGTGTTATGTGCTGTACAGATACTGATCATGTTCTTGTTCAGAGCGTAATGTAATTTTCAGGGGCCAACCCGTGGATTCATGGACCCAGGCAGTCATTTATCTGACTTGTTTCTATCCATTTAAATGCATGTGCCTCCACTGTGAGGACTCTTTAGACTTGTAGAGTTAGGACCACAGATACTCAGGGTGCTGTGACGCGGCTCTGTGGCTTACGTATGTATTTGCAAATGTGTGCTAACTAAACCCCTGTTTTTAAACGCATGTTTCCAGACAGGTTAATTTGGTTTTTGATAGTTGGCTAACTGGCTGACAGTTTGAACTGGCTTTTCTTATCCCCCTTGTTGATAAGATGTACATATCCTTGTTCCTTGCCAATAAAAGCCGATATTAGATTGGGGTAGGCTGGCAAGTTGAACTGGATATTTTTACTTATTTGGAAATTTTCTCACGTAGTGACAGCCCCCCATGTTCACTGTTTAAAAAGCCAGTTATAGACCTGGGCAGGTGATCAGTTTTTTCTCAGTCATTTATCTGACCCTGATATAGACATGTTTTTTTTTTCAAATGTGAATATGTACCCACTGACCCGTATAATCAGACATATGATTCTTTCTTTAGCTGCATCAGTCCGCATATCATGTCCTCCTGGCTGGTTCTTCTACAGGTCACATTGCTATGCCATCAGTAAGAACCCAGCAACATGGGCTGATTCAGAGGTAAGTCAGTGCATTGTTGCAGGTTATATAAACAGGCTTGTTCAATAAAGCATTGGAAGGAATACAGTGCTAAGTAGAAAAGGTGTTGGTTCAAAAACCATCTCCTGTTTATCTGACTATGCATTCTTCTAATAGCACAACTTATTGAATAAACCCATTAGGATGTGCTGCAATCATATTTAGGTTTGGTGTCGATATGCTTAGATGGAGAAATGCAGCATGATTTTGACATCAGTTTGAGATGCTTTTGACATCATTCAGCATTAATAATCGTTGTACTTGACCTACATTGACCTGCTTCAAGCTGCTTTTTCATTCCTACTTACTTGCATGGGCAAGGCACAGTTCTGGAGAGAACAAAAGCCATCAAGTTCCTTCTATGAAAAAAAAAAAAGCTATCCAGCATATACTAACAGAAGTTTCAATGTATTAATTACAGTTATTGGCATTTTTTTGGCAATCAAACTACAGGCATAACACAAACTATACCAACATTATAGGATTATACTTTGTGATTTGGCATTTTATTATAAACCCATTCTGTTACACAGCTAGACAACACTAATAGTGTAGCACAACAATTAAAAATTAAGTCTCTTGAGTGGCCACACAATATACCCAACATACAATACACTGTATACAAAAAAAACAAACAAACAGCATGATAATAAATATAAACACAATTGGATCCTCAGTACTTCCAGATCACAAAGTGTCCAGGCCTTCCAGGTGCATATTGGCAAATTGGTGTCATTGGGTTTAATCACTCTAATCTGTAAAGCCAACAGATCCTGGGACTGAACAGCAGCTGATGACAATCAATTATTCTGTTGATGTTCAAATTTGACAAAGATCCCCTCTTTCTTACAACTGTTGAACCAAGGACTTAACTATTGGTACACGCCTAGTTTTATATATATGATTATCTACACTAAAAGGCTTGCAATTAGCATTGAATAATCCACATTTATTGCAATAAACCTAAAGGTAAACTCCCTTAGTTTATATTCATTTATATCCACTCATAAAACATTGGTTTGTGAACATTGATCTACAATATATTAATAGTAAACAGCTTATTTGTTTTGTTATGTTAACTTACTGGGTACTGTGTTTTCCATTTTTAAAAGGATATGTTGGCATATTTATCTTTTGTAGTATGAGTGTACAAGTTATGGACATGGTGCCCATCTGGCCTCCATCATGGATGAATCTGAGGCATCCATTATTGCTAGCCATGTATCTGCAAGTCAAGATGCAGAGGGTGTGTGGATAGGACTGCATGACCCTGACAAGGTGTGTATATCCATTGAAAATCAAAACCAAGCTTCCACAATAACTTATGAAGTAGTGCATAAAGCCCAATGTTTCACTTGCAGAATGGCCGTTGGAAGTGGACGGATGGATCCATGTTTAATTTTCAAGCCTGGAAAGGAGGTGTTCCAGATAATGCCAAAGGAAAAGAATATTGTGTTGTGCTAGTCAGCGGCTCCAGTAAGTGGATAGTCAACATAAAATATTATCCATTTTAAATTAAATAGAATATGTACATTGGCAGTCTTGCTATGCCACTTTTTTTATTTCCTTATTACAACTCGGTAGCCATTCATGGTATGCCCAGGGAGCATATTGTGTACAGAGAAAATCTCCTGCTCAACAATGGATGTTAAACAGCTAAGCTGATAGGTTGAGTTAGAGAACGGCCACAAATGGTTTGTAGATATGACCAAAACAGATTTTTCAGACTGTCCATGTTGTATGTTATATAGGGATAGGAAATGATATTTCTATAAAGGGAAAGTAGTGACCCACTATATACTTCTGTTTGTATGTCACTGGGGTTTGTCTATGTAATGATGAACAAACTATGCATTTTTAATTTGCCAAAATATACTAATGTAGATTTGTTCAGTTTGTGGAAAATTAAACAATTCTTGAGTTCTCTACTTCTCTGAAGATCTGACAAGTCTTTAGGAACATATTGAAACAAAAACAGAGGTGACTACCCTGATAAGTAAATCAGTAAACTCAGCACTATGCTCAATTCACAAATTCATACACTAGGATAAGAATCCTTTTTTTGTTGTATTTTTTGAAGGAGTGGTAGTTATTTCAACTGGGTACAATAAAATTTGAAGCTGTAATTGCATTGCTAAAATAAAGACTCTTATCCTTTTGTTAAAGCTTTGTAAATTGAGCCTGTAATATCTGCTTTTTATTTTAAAAAATGGTGTAGACTTTTAAAGCAGAACTCTTGCCAAAAATAACAAGATAAAATTCAATAGCCCATTAAAAGATAAAATCACAAAAACAGCTTTGGCTGTGTTATTCACCTTCAGATAGTTTTGGACTCACCCCTGCTTCTGATTGGACCGCGAAAGAAAAAGCGGCGCAGCTCTCTGTCACATTGTTTTCTCCTATTAGCATGCTTCTTGCCAGTAAATGAATTTGATGATTACACAATAATGTCCTTCTGTACAGGGTTTAGGAGAGACTTATATTAGGTCAAATTCAGCTAATTACACTACTGGCATTTAAAAATATATTTAATGGTATATTAATGATTATAGAACTGGATTGATTTGTTTTTTTATCTGTCTAAGGTTCAGCTTTAAGAAAAAAAATGGATTAGCTGAATATTTTCTTACAAGTGCATGACTATGGTTGTCCATCATCTCCAAGACTTGGATGCTTACATGTATCCTATAATAGTTCAGGCTTCATGTTCTTCAGTAATTGTTACAAATGCTCAGTTTATTATGACAGTTTCTAAAGTTGCCATCAACATTGCACACACAAGGAGATACACATGTGGGAAGGAACAAAACGATTCAGAAAAGGGGTAGTAGCAGGGGTGGACTGACCATTTGGAAACTTGGCCACTGCCTGAGGGCCCGGGGTCAGTAGGGGACCCCATGAGATGCCCCTGGTACCTTTCTCATAAGCTTTTTTGAGTTTGGGCATGGACACAGGGGCCCCATAATCCCTTATTGCCCGGGCGCCCCATGAGTTGTCAGTCCGCCCCTGGGTAGTAGATAAACTCACAGTGGGATGGGCAGACTAGTTTCCAGCTCCAGTGGTGGCTGAAGAATAAAGCTGGATGTACACACATCTACTTATCTTCAAATTTAAGTACCTTGTGACACTAGTTCATGTGTAGTACTTAAAGAGGTATTAAACTCAAAACCTAAAATTTCTTATATTGAAGCTTACCAATCATTAGATGAGGTGGCTGCACTACTTTTCTTTTCTTTGGCTTTTTACTTTCTGTTTTCACCAGGTGATCTGGCCAGTAACACATATTCTGTATTAGCAATACACCTCTTTGGAGGAATGAGCCAGGACACAGCAGAAAGCAGCATTGGCAGTCATGGGGGGGGGGGGGGAGTGTTAAATGTATTAGCAGATTTGAATACAAATAATACATTGAAACCAAACTCCAGCTAAGACTTTATAATCAGTTACATTAAACTTTTTTTCCTTTTGCAACAAAGGTTTTACATGAATAAATAAAAGCTGATTCATTTTAATCACCCTTGCCATTGGTAAATGGATGGTTTCATCAAAGTTAGCTGATACATTCTGCTAGAGCTTGAGCTTCTGGAAAACAGCAGAGTTGCTGGCTGAATCACTAGATGAAAAAAGAATAAAGAAAGCCAAAAAAAGGAAACTAATGCAGCCATCACATCTAAGAATTGGTAAGCTGTAATATAAATGTTTTTGTTTTTTGGGTTTAATACTGCTTCTGCAACAAAGAGCATCTTCTTCTACCTGCTACTTCATGAGGCTCATATTATCACTTCTAGCACATAGGATATGGGCCAAATTTCAAAAGCAATGCTTGAAATCAGAAACATCTGTTGCTTTTATTGGGCCATTTATGACTAGTCTAAAAAGTGTCCTTCAACCAAATTACTGCTGCATCTCCTTTTTCATACTTTGTTGTAGAGGAAAAAAGATAGTGCTTATAGGACCTCTAATCACGCTGTAATTACCATTCACATATTCTCATGTGTAGCTACACCCCAAAGATAAATGTTTGTTCTACTTACCTTTTCTCATGCCTTACTTCTATGTTCTCTTCCAGAATACAGGAAATGGAATGATGTTGGATGTGGAGGAAAGAGGAATTGTGTCTGTAAATTTAAGCCCTGAAGTGTCTTCTTATAAAATCCAACATTTTCAGCCTGTATCCTAATAAAACAGTATAATGATCTACCTTTTAGTCAGAAAAATGCAATTATTTGATGTTGATATTTTTATTTTATGTTGTGTGCTAATGGAAATGTATTTTGAATCTGTTTAATTTTTTTTATTAAATATCCTGATATTGTACCATATGTGTGGAAAAACTAGGAATCTGATATCTATTTAAATGCTTTTTTTTTTTTAAACAGACATTGAATTCATCATTACAGGCAGTCTGCATTATGTCACTAAATAAACCCAAAGAAGTGGTGGCTAAACAGTAGATCACTTATGACAACTGTGAATGTAATATCCAAAAGGAAAAAACAAACACTTAATCATTTTTTTAATAAACACTGGGAATAAAAGTTTAATAAAAGCAAAACTAAAGTCTTCCAGCATAAAGTTGGATGGCTGCAGTAACCCACAGGAATCTAGTAAAATTAGAAGCTGTCAAATATTTATAGCTCCAAATGGACATCCTTGTGGTCAACTTTAAACTGAAGAGCTCTTTACTGTGGATTTATAAATATACAGCAGTACCATTATCGCACAGACATAAACCAGGTTGCTTGAATGTTTGTCCTGATATTTCAGTAAATAATGCAATAAGTGCAATGCGCGTACAGATCATGCAGCAATCCCTTGTGCTGAGACGAAAGCCAAACGCAGGGTCAATGTTAAAACTATGTATTTACACAGCTGATCAACCATTATTCAAACTGTATTGCCCCTTACTAGGTTAGAAGTACAGTTTTTGATCGGGAGGAGGTCAAGCAAAGATTAGCAGCTAAAATAACATATGGTGTCTTGAAAACCACATTTTGGAAAACATGCCAAACAGGAAACCTATAGACAGATTAATCAGGCAGTGCTTGTATAGCTTCATATGCAGAGCAAAACTATAAGAAATAGACAATACTTTCCAACTGATACTTATTTCATACATTTGGCAGCAGAGCTTGCATTTATGATTCCTCATGCACCTTAGAGTTTTGGGCCTGCTTGCCTCTCTAATGGATATGATTACTCTGTGTATTTGGAAATCCCTTACTTGAACAACTGACCAGAGAATTGTTGCGAAACTATTTCTCCATAATATACTACAGTGGCACCCACAGAGTGCAGGCCATTAAGGACAGCATAATTAATACAAAATCCTGAACTGCTCAAAATTGAGCCCCCGTGCACAATTTGGGCTTTATACTAGCACAATGCTGACCTACGTGTTCATCGTGCTTTTGTAGATCCTCTAGACAAGATGTTGCATAAACCATCCCCTGCAATCAGATAGACCATGCATGCAATGTGGTGCAGAGTGGAAGCAAAAATGTAACACAGGTACTGTAAGACAGGGTGATCTCCTGCCAAATGGTGCCTGTAAAGTCCTAGTCCTCCCCAGAAGGATTGGTGCAGGACAAGAAATCTACAAGGTAAGTGCCACTGAGCATTAATGATAGAACTACATTTCTCCCACTTAACACTAGTGATAGGGCTACATTACTCAGACTGACCAACAAAGATAAGGCTACTTTCCACAAGCTGACCACAAGCTATGGGCCTGTATTTCCCACACTGACAACCAATGATGGGGCTACATTCCTCCCACTGGCCACCATTGACAGAGCTACCTTCCTCCGACTGACTATCTATGATGGGCCTACATTTTCTCCCACGGACTACCAATGATGGGGCTACATTCCTGACACTGACCACCTATAATGGGGTGCTATATTCTGACCACCAATGATAGATCACTATATTCTGATCACCAGTGAGTAGGCATTAGCACAGAGCTTTCCTGCACCCTGCAATTTACCACAGCCACTATCATACGGAATGGTCTCCTGCTCGATGGTGCCTGTATAGTTCCAGTCATGACATCACAACAAGCAGTGACACTGGGACATTTATACTCCAAGGTAAGTGCCACTGAACACCAAAGGGGCTACATTCCTGTACCTGAAAATCAGTGATGGGGCTACATTCCTCCCACTGATCCCCAATGATGTGGCACAAAATAGACAAACAATTGTACACCCTAATTATTACAAGTAGCTTTCCAAATGACACCATAGTGCTTTTATTGGTAAAAACAGAAAAATACATACTCACAAAAGCGCAAAACTTGAGCCAAGCTGCAGGGTAACCCTCAGCTGAAGATGTGCCAGTGTACTGCAGCATTACCAAGACTCACCAGCTAACACCTTTCCAGGGAACCTTCCTCAACAGAGGCAAGTATTTCTGTAATGACACAATATCCCACCAATAGGTCATCTCATTTTCGAGCAAATTATTTCATTTATCAAAAATTTGGACACCATTTTATCTACCTCATTATGTT